TCTTCCTTCTTTCCTTCTAGAACTCTGAGGGCATAAATGCTATATATTTTACCATAGTCCTCAAATACCTGACCCTCTGTCAATTGTTTCAGTTTCTTTTCTCTGTTGTATAGTTTAGTTTGGATAAATTCTCTTATTCTATTTTCAGGTTCACTGATTTTATCCCCCCTCTGTCCTGTCTGTTTTGCTTTTGAGCCCATTGGATTTTTAATTTTATTTAGTTATTATATTTTTCAGTTTTAAATTTCCATTTGGTTCTTTATGTTTCTATTTAGTTGCTGAGACTTTGTTTGTTTTAAGCACGTTAGTAATTTCTTGTTGAAGCATTTTTATGATGATTGCCTTAAAATCCTTGACAAATGATCCCAACATTTGTGCCATCTCCATGTTGTGTCTGTTGATTGTTTTCTCATTCATAGTGAGAATTTTCTAATTTTTAGTGTAAGTGATTTGATAATATCTTGGGTATAATAGGTCTGTTAATCTTCTGTTTTATTGGACTTCTTTGATATGAATGCTGGTAATAAGGGGAGGTGCTGCCCACTGCCAAACGGGGATTGAATTTTAGATTTCCCATTTAGCCTCTGTTGACACCCAACGAATGGGGCCGAGAGTTTGGGCTGATGCCACCCTGGGTGGAATAGGGAGGGGCACCTCGTTACTTTCGTGGCTTCTAGTAACACCAGGCAGAGAGGGAGAATGAAAGCAGCAGTTGTTACCACTGAAGAGTGATGAAAATCCTAGTTCTGCATTGGACCTCCTCTGCATAGAAGAAATGAAGGGAAGTTCTTTCTTACCACCAAGTAGTGATGTGTAGTATACACATGGCATTTTCTGTATATTATGATGTTTTGACCTCTCTAAAAACATAATTGGCTGAGGAGGCACTGCCCTTCCTAGGGCTAAGTGATTCTTTGGAATGCTGAGCCAGGAGCATACCATTTTAAAGTCCATTTTCTACTCCTATAACAGAATACCCAAGTGGGTAATTTATGAAGAACAGAGATTTATTTGGTTTATAGATCTGAGGCAGTCTAAAAGCACTGGTGTGTGATGAGGGTCATCCCATGGCAGAAGGCTGGAGGGCGAGCAAGCATGCAAGACAGAAAGAGAGGCTGAGCTCCCGTGATAACTATCCCACTCCTAGGATAATGACGCATAATCCATCCTCTACTCATCCTCTCTTAAAGGGCCCACCTCTTAATACCATCACAGTGGCAATTAAATTTCAGTGTCAGTTTTAGAGGAGACATCAAGCTATAGCACCTTTGATGCTAGCACCTAACCAATCCAGAGCTATACCTCCCCTATATGGCCCTTACATCTCAGAGGGCAATATTACTCTGCTCTGATCATCCTTGGACCAGGCACTAGACAACTGGGGACCTCTTCTGTATCTTAGAACCTGCCAGAATTACTCCAAACTAGCCAATTCTAGACTGTTCACCCTGTCCTGCCTTGCCTCTCACCCTGATCACCCTGTTGTCTTTTCCATGTGACCCTGTGTGGTGGCACACTGTACCTCTTATCTCTAGGACCTGTGAGTACAATAAACTTTGTTTATTCCTGAGTCTCTGCTCTATCTCCTCTTTTTATTTTTTATTTCTTTTTGAGACAGAGCCTCAAGCTGTCGCCCTGGGTAGAGTGCCGTGGCTTCACAGCTCACAGCAACCTCCAAATCCTGGGCTTAAGCAATTCTCTTGCCCCAGCCTGCCAAGTAGCCTGCCACAACACCATTGTTGTTTGGCAGGCCCAGGCTGGATTTGAACCCGCCAATTCTGGTGTATATGGCTGGCACCTCAGCCTCTTGACCTACAGGTGCCAAGCCTCTATCTCCTCTTAATGGCCATAACCTGACTGACCCTCTCGTAAGACGGACTCAAGCAGCTAAGGCTCGAGCGACATACACCTGAGCTGGCAGGTTCGAATCCAGCCCGGACCCGCCAAACAACAATGACAGCTGCAACCAAAAAATAGCCAGGTGTTGTAGCAGGTGCCTGTAATCCCAGCTACTTGGGAGGCGAAGGCAGGAGACTCGCTTGAACCTAGGAGTTGGAGGTTGCTGTGAGCTGTGACCCCAGGACAGCAGCTTGAGGCTCTGTCTCAAAATAAATAAATAAATTAATTAATTAAATAAAACCAGGCCAATGACAACCCTGGTTAGGAAGGTGTTCTTCAATTCTGGGGTAACCCATGCCCTTTCTGACAGTACCCCTGGGTTGAAGGAGAATTGCTTTGTTATAGCTTGGCAAGTGTGGAAGTCAACGTTCCCCATTTGGCTTTGTGCCTTTGTCAAAAATTGACTGACCAAATATGTGTGGGTTCATTTCTGAACTCAGTTCAATTTAATTAATCTTTGTCTATTTTTATGCTAATACTATACTGTCTCACTTACTATGAATCTCTAACTTCTTTTTTTTTCAGAGTTGCTTTAGCTACTCTAGGTCTTTCATTTTCATATGCATTTTAACATAAGCTTGTTAATCTGGCCATACCCCTATTTCTGCTACAGCTTAGCTCTGTCATAGAAAAACATGGTTGCATGTTACCTGATTTTTTGGTCCTTATTAAGTAATTAAAATAGGTTTGTGTCAGAAATTTAGAAAATATAGATAAGTAAAAATATAAAAGATAAATTAAATCACTCAGACTTTGAATTTTAAAAGTTATTTAAAATATGTAAAATCCAATCAATATATTCCATAATATGCATACATATATAAACATGAATCTATTGCATATGTAAGTAAAGATACTACATATATGTGGGTAAAACCATATGTATTTATTCCTATGCACAGAAGAATGTTTGGAAGGTTATATGCCAAAATATTAGTAGTTATTATCTTTGGTTGGCATGATTAAGGATGAACTGTGCTATAACCTTATCATCACATTATTCTCATTAAACTATTGAAGGCTAATATAAAAATTGTTCTTTTACTTTTGATGTCATTGTATGATTTGGTACTCAAAAAAAAAACAAAACCATGATTTAATGAGGTTAGAAACTTTCTTTCCATCTTCTTTGCTCTTTTCAAAAATAGTTCCATCAGAATTCCTTTCAACTGCCAGCCAGTGAGAAGAAACGGATTAGTAAATGGTGCAAGTCGATGCGTCTTCCATTTGCAAGGTAAATATGGGCTTGAATTAGACTGGTGCAGAGTACAAAGATTTTATATAACACAGTGTTATGTGCGTTGTACGGTGTTCAAGATTCATCAACCTGTAGTTGCCTATTAAAGTGGGGATGAAGTGGTAAATATAGGTTGTCTCCTAGACTCCAAGGAAACTTACTCCTCAGTTCAATAACCAAGTTCATCTGTAGTGTCCTGCTACTTTTTTTTACTTTTTTTCTTTTCCTCTAGGTCACAACTAGCTTCATCTTGTTTTTTACTGGGTAAATCTGATGCCTGTTTCTACTTTTATTATCTTGTGTACTTGCCCCAAGCTTTAAAGTTAACTTTGATCTTTGTTATTCTCCTCGTGTCCAAAATTCTCAATTTTTAATTAATTTGATTATAAGTCTTAGAAAGCACCTTATTTCAAAGGTGTCTTTTTAAAAGTCAGTGACTCAGTTAATTATTAGCACTGATCAAAATTCTCTTGTTTCTTTTAGACAGTATTCTTCCTGTCATATAACTTATAAGTTTAATGCTTTTACTTAACTACATAAGTAAATGCACTTATGTATTGAAATGCTATCTGTACCATAGTAAAAATTCTCATATCTACTATATAACTTTTTATTCTTTCTAGTTTGTTCCATTGATTTGCCTATTATGCATACTATCATCAATTTGTACCAGTAAATTTTAGTTGTTAGAGTTTTAAAATAGTAAGTCTTATTGTATTTTAGGTCCTTGGTTCTTTTTCAGAAATACATTGATTGTCAGTATGCACGTATCGTTTCATATAGACATGCAAATCATGCAAGTGTCAGCTTCAAAAAAATTGTATCCTGGCTCAGCACCCATAGTACAGTGGTTATGGTGCCAGCCACATACACCAAGGGTGGCAGGTTTGAACTCAGCCCGGGCCAGCTAAACAACTGCAACAAAAAAATAGCCAGGCATTGTGGTGGGCGCCTGTAGTCCCAGCTACTTGGAAGGCTGAGGCAAGAGAATTGCTTAAGCCCAAGAGTTTGAGGTTGCTGTAAGCTGTGACACCATGGCACTCTACCTAGGGCCACATAGTAAGGCACTGTGTGTTTTTAGGTAAACTGTTGTTTGAAGTATGCATATGAGAACGTAGTAGATTTTCACAAAGTGAACATGTGAATAAACAACACCCAGACCAAGGAATAATAGGTTACCAGCGTCTCCTATACTACTGCCTTGTGCCCCCTTTGTGGTCATTACCCACCTAAAGAAATATGATCCTGATTCCTACAGATTGATTAATTTTGCAAGGTATTGAACTTCATATAGTGAAATGATACAATATGTGTGCTTCTTGTCTCTGGTTTCTTTGGCTCAGCATTATGTTAGTGAGATTCAGACATGTTGCTGTATGTAGTTGTAAGTCATTCATTCTCAGTGATGTATAGTCTTCCATTATAAGATTACACCACAGTTTGTCTGTTCTTATACGGAACATTTCAATTTTTTTTTTTTAATTTTTATTTTTTTTGAGACAGAGTCTTACTTTGTTGCCCTTGGTAGAGTGCTGTGGTGACACAGCTCACAACAACCTCCAGCTCTTGGGCTTAGGCCATTCTCTTGCCTCAGCCTCCCAAGTAGCTGAGACTACAGGTGCCTGTGACAACACCCAGCTAGTTTTTATTTTTGTTGTTGTTGCAGTTTGGCTAGGGCTAGGTTTGAACCTGCCACCCTTGGTATATGGGGCTGGCGCCCTACTCACTGTGCCACAGGGGCCACCCCTCCCATTTGGGTCTGTTACAACTAGGGCTGCCATTTATATGTGTTTTGACACATTTCTGTCAAGTGTATACTTTGGAGTAGAAGTACTGAGTATGTGTGTATAAATATGTGCACATATACATTTTTTTGGCACCCTCTGTATATATCTGCCAAACAGTTTTCTAAAGGGATTATACTAATTTACATTCCTCAGTAAATTATGAGAATTCTTGTTGTTCTGTATCCATTCATTTTAGCCATTTTGTGGGATGTATAGTGGTATCAGTTCATATGTTTATTTTCTTTCTGTTGGGTTATCATGTCATTTTTTTTTAAAGTCCTTTATATACTTTGTGTATAACAAATGTCTTCTGCTCTGTGGATTGTCCTTCATTGTCAATGTTGCCTTTAGATGAACAGAAGTTTGTTATAAAATCCAACCTGTGTGCGTGTGCATACCCCCCTACTTTTTGTGTTCTTATAAGAAGAAAATCTTTACTGATTTACAAGGTCATAAGATGGTCTTTTGTTTTATTCTAAAAGTTTTATTATCAACCCTTTCATATTTTTTTTTATTTTAGAGACAAAGTCTCTTGCATAGGCTAGTGTCAGACTCCTGAGCTCAAGCAATTGACTTGCCTCCCAGAGTATTAGGATTACAGGCTTGAGCCACTATACACAGCCAGCTTATTTATTCTTTGTCCTTTGCATTTCCATGTGAATTTTATAATAGCTTGCCAGTTTTTTTCATGAAGGACTGTGTCAATTTACACATACAGAGTTGGAATTTTAACTAGAATTATGCAGAATATAGTTTAGTTTGGGGAAAATTGATAAATTGAGCGTTCTGTTCATAAATATGAGATAGCATTCCATTTATTTAGCCACAGTGCCCGACTATTTTTTGATTGTAGTTGTCATTGTTGTTTGGCAGGCCTAGGCTGGATTCGAACTTGCCAGCTCTGGTGTATGTGGCTGGCACTTTGGCCTCTTGAGCTATAGGTGCTGAGCCTATTTACTAATTTTTTTTTTTTTTTTTTTTTGAGACAGAGCCTCAAGCTGTCCCCCTGGGTAGAGTGCCGTGACATTACAGCTCACAGCAACCTCCAACTCCTGGGCTCCAGCGAGTCTCCTGCCTCCGCCTCCCAAGTAGCTGGGACCACAGGCGCCCGCCACAACGCCCGGCTATTTTTTTTGGTCGCAGCTATCATTGTTGTTTGGTGGGTCCGGGCTGGGGATTCGAACCCGCCACCTTAGGTGTACGTGGCTGGCGCCTTAGCCGGTTGAGCTATAGGCGCCGAGCCCTATTTACTAATTTTTAAAAGGATTTTTACATAAGGCAGCTCCTGTGGCTCAGAGAGTAGAGTGCCAGTCCAATATACTGGAGGTGGCAGGTTTAAACCCGGCCCTGGCCAAAAAAAAAAAAACTCAGAAAAGGAAAAACAAAAAGATTTTTATGTATACATTAATGATAAAAATGGTTTATAAGTTTTGTTTCTTGTGATATAATTTGTTAGGTTTTTGCATTTATATTATACTAGCCATAGTTACCTGGGCCTGCAGTTTTCTTGTGGAAAGTTTTTGATAATATCTGATTTCTTTAGTAGATATAAGAATTTTCATATTTTCTATTTCTTCCTGCCTGGCTTCACGTTTTTCATATGCAAGTTGAAGAAGTTCTTTTTTTTTCTGGTTTTTGGAGAGTTTTTATAATGAACTTACATTGGATTTTATCAGATGCTTTTTCTGTATTTGTGGAGAGAATCATGATTTTTCCCCTTTGTTCCATTAGTATAGTATTGATGGTTTAGTGCCAGCTTTGAATTTCCAGAATAAATTCCACTTGGTCATGCTGTATTATTCTTTATATATATTGCTAGGTTTGATTTGCTAATATTTTCTTGAAAATGTCCTGTGTCTGTTAATTGCTTATAAAATCTTTAACAGATTTTGGTAAGGGTTATGTTGACCTCATAAAATGATATTAGAAACATTCCCTCTGCCTCTGTTTTCTAAAAGACTTTGTAATTAAGTCTTTAATAGAATTCACAAGAGAAGTAATTTTGGCCTAGTCTTTTAAATTATTAATTTAAAGGGCTTTATATTTTCTGGGTTTTTTTCAACTTGATTTAGAAAATGTCTATCAAAAAAATCGTACATTTTATCTAAACCATCAAGTTTATTTGCATACTGTTGTTTATAATATGCCCTTATTTTAATACTTTTAGCATCTGTAGTGAGAGCCTTTCTTTCCTAATATTGGTAATTTGTATCTTACTTGATGAAATTAGCTAGAGGTATGTCAGTTCTATTGTTCTTTCAGAAAACTTGGCTTTGGGCTTCAGTGATTTTCTTTTACTCATTTTTTTTCTGCTTTATATATCTATTCTTTATTATTTTCTTTTTTCTTTGTTTTTGTTTTTGTTTTTGTTGAGACAGAGTCCCACCTTAAGCCCTGAGTAGAGTGCAATGGCGTCATAGCTCACTGCAACCTCACACTCTGGCTGTGGGCATCCTGCTGCCTCAGCCTCCGTAAGCTGCTTGGATTATAGGAGCTTGCCTTGGTGCCCAGCTGGGTTTTTCTTTTTTTTTTTGAGACAGAGCCTCAGGCTATCCCCCTGGGTAGAATACGGTGACATCACAGCTCACAGCAACCTCCAACTCCTGAGCTCAAGTGAGTCTCCTGCCTCAGGCTCCCAGGTAGCTGGGACCACAGGCTCCCACCACAGCGCCAGGCTATTTTTTGGTTGCAGCCGTCATTGTTGTTTTGGCAGACCTGGGCTGGATTCCAACCCACCACCTTAGGTGTATGTGGCTAGCGCCTTAGCCACTTGAGCCACAGGCGTTGAGCCAGTTTTTCATTTTTTTATGAGTTGGGGGTCTCACTCTCGCTCAGATAAGTCTTGAATTCCTGAGCTCAAGCAATTCTCCGGCCTCACCCTCCCACAGTACTGTGATTACAGGTATGAACCACCGTGCATGGCTATTATTTCCTTTTTAACATATTGACTGCCATACTAGAAAAAAATTGTTTTCCCTTGGGGTCAAAGTGCTTTATTATAAAAATAGACTAAAAACTTCAAAAACAAAATGATCCTTTCTAATTTAATGAAAAACTTGTTATTTTTTGTTTTCTATGTGTGAGTTATAAGAAACTCATGTGAAGCTAGAATTAGTTTTTATACTGCATACATGAGTTGTATGTGACTCACGGCATACTTACTGAATTGGTTTCTGAGAACTGAGTTGTCATTTGTTGTGTCTGGAGTAGACTTTGGGTGGTCCTGGATGAAGATTTCTGAATTACACCTGATGAGTATGTTCAACAAGGTCCCATTGCTGCATGCTATCTATAGATTTTGTTCAAAGAGCCACCAGGCAAACATTCAAGGGGGAAATGTACGATTGAGAATTATAGTAATTGGAGAACATAGTCCAGCATGTGTGGCACACATGAGCAGGCCAGCTGGAGCAGGGCAATGGGAGGTGGGGAAGCTGTGTAAGTGACAGTGAAAACAGGAGCACAAGTTTCACAGCCCACAGGCAAGTTATGGACCTTTCCTCATATCCAGCAGCTATATGCATCATGAGGCTTAAAACTAGCATGAGTCAAGTACAACTCATATGATAGTTAATGTGCTAAAACATTGAGATATGAAATTCACATAACATGAAATTTCTTATAATGTGAAATTTGCCCTTTTAACGTAATAATGCTGTGATTTTTATTATTTTACTGTTATGCAACCTTCACCACTGTCCAATTCTGAAATATTTCCATCTCTAGCAAGAAATCTCGTATTTGTTAGCAGTCACCTTACCTATGGTCTTTGCTCCCCTACCTGTAGCAACCACTAATTTACTTTCTGTCTAAATGGCTTTGGTCACTTTGGACATTTAGTACGAATAAAATCACATAGCATGGGCTTTGGCGTCCGGCTTCTTTCCTTTAGCGTACCCCTGTCAAGGTTCATTCATGTTGTAGCATGTGTTAGTGTTTCATTCCTTTTTCTGACTGAATAAAATTTTATTGTATGGATATAGCACATTTTTAAAATCCATTCATCAATTTTTGGACATTTTTATTGTTTCTTCTTTGGGGCTAGTATGAATAATGGTATTTTAAACATTCATTTACAAACTTTTGTGTTTTCAGTTCTTTTGAATATATGCTTACGAGTGGAATTTCTGTTGATGTGGTAACTCTGTGTTTAACTTTTGGGGAAACTGTCAAATTGTTTTTCAAAGGTGATGTGCCATTTTATATTCTCATTAGCAAAATATTAGAGTACTGATTTATTCATACCCTCACTAACACTTATTGTTGTGTATTCTTGTGATTGTAGCCATTCTTTTTTTTTTTTTTATTGAATGGTAACTATGTACATTTATGCACTTCTGGGGTACAGTGTGGTATTTTCACATACAGCTTGAAACATTTCCATCAAACTGGTTAACATAGCCTTCATGTC